GGGACTTGTGCAAAGCATTCGACACTGTCCCGCATGACATCCTTGCCTCTAAATTGGAGAGACATCAGTTTGACGGATGAAGACAGGCTGAGAAAAGCTGGGGCTGTTCAGCCTGGAGAAGAGAAGGCTGCATGGAGACCTCATAGCAGCCTTCCAGTATCTGAAAGGGGCCTCTAAGGATGCTGGGGAGGGACTCTTCATTAGGGACTGTAGTGATAGGAGAAGGGGTAACGGGTTAAACCTTCAACAGGGCAAGTTTAGATTGGATGTAAGGAGGAAGTTCTTTACCGTAAGGGTGGTGAGGCACTGGAATGGGTTGCCCAAGGAAGTTGTGAATGCTCCATCCCGGGCAGTGTTCAAGACCAGGTTGGAAGGAGCCTTGGGTGACATGGTTAAGTGTGAGGTGTCCCTGCCCATGCAGGGGAGTTGGAACTAGATGATCTTAAGGTCCTTTCCAACCCTAACTATTCTAAGATGCTATGATTCTAAAGTTATCTGAAATACTACATTTATTGCTGGTGACAGCACATGAGATATGCAGAACGGAGCTGACCTTCAGAACCCAGTTTGAAATTGCATTGTCCTGTTGTACGGGGAAGAAATTTCTCTGGAAATGGTAAACAAACCATTTAAGGGGTGGGGGTGAGAGGTGGGACAACTGTGCCTCAAAATCAACCTTTTCTATTAAATTCCTGCTGTCCTCACACAGACTCACCATTCTGACTTCTGCTCTTCCCATAGTGGATGTGCCTTGCATGCAGAAAACTTAGAGTCTTCATTAGCTGGAGAGTTGGCCTAAATGAAGGGAGTGGAGTAGGGTGTGTGTGTGCATGCATACACATGTATTTGTCATAGCGCAGTTCATACTGTTTTCTCTGTTGCCTTAGAGTCATATTGTCATCAAGCTCATTTACTGTGCTGGGTACAGTACAGAGGTTTCATCAGCTCTTCAAGATGTTTAGTAAAAGTCTGTCTTCTTTTTTAATCTGGATGTTTGGCAGATCTTACGACATAGAGTTACTATGTGGGAAAGCAACAGTTCTTGGTTATTCAGAAGCTTTGTTGCTAAAGTGCTGATTTAGCACACTAAGGAATAGCTGAATAAAGAAAAGAAAATCGGGTAAGGGATGAGACAGGTACTAATCACTTTCTGGCAGTATCTAAAGAACTTTTGTGATCCTAAGTAAACTTCCATCACATCCATATTTCCCTTCATGCAGGTGCTCAGTTTTCAGCTTCTATATAGCCCTGCTCTACCTATGGAGCACTCTAATGGTTTTCTCTGGTATATTGGTTGCTTTCCCAAGGTCCAGCAGGCATCTCAAGCAGTTAAAAAAAAAGTGTAACTACTCATATAACCCTCATATAACCTCTCTTGCTCCTTGATGTAATTATATTTAATTAGCTCTTCCTTAAGAACCTTCACAGCATTAAAGATTATTTGGTTTGCATTCCGTGGTTTGTATGACCTTGTCGCTGTTTGTTTATCTCTCCTTGCCAATGCTTACGTCTCTTATGTCCTTTCTTCTCTGGTACTGATGACAGGATACATTTTTTTTTCCAGAGTTGCCAAAATACTTTCTACTTCATCATTCCAGCTGTCAAATTGTCTGGAAGAAATATTCCTGTCATTATGCCTACCAAAATGGTGAATAATATGGGCAAAGACAAAAGACCTGTGAGAACAATTTCTGAAACCCTTTTTATTTCTGTTATTAAGACAAAGATTAATCTTCAAAGCTGTTCATCCTTTTGCGCACAGTGCTTCTAAGTTGTTTTTCTTCACTAGACATCAATAACCTTGTTGTTTTCATAATTTTTTTTGAGAACTTTATAACATGTTGCCAGATATAAAGAGAAAAAATGGAACAGTGGAACTGAAATTGCCTTTGTGATTCCCATGCCTCTTAAACAACTGTATTCTGATTGTCCACATACACCTCTTCCAGAAACAATAGTGTCATCATTCCTGGCAGAGAACGCTTCCTTCCTTGGTAACAGCTGTGAAGACAGGGCTTATACTTAGATGGAAAAATAAGGAAATGGATTCCTCAGTTGATATAGCCTCCATTTTTGGAATTCCCCCAAAACATTAGGCTTGCCACCAAATATAAGTTGGTTCCCACCAACTATGAGGGAAGAAAACATAATAAAGTTTTCACTAAGGTTTATGTCCTTTAAATGGGAAACAGTGCCCCTTGCAGTAGCTGAAACTTACATACCATAATGTGAGCAAAATCAGTAATATCTATATGCTCTTTGTGCTGGCCAAGCATTTAACAGACAGCACACATGGCTGATAGTTCTCTCCATTCCACTGCATACAGTTAAGTGATGTGGGATTAAAAGTTTACCTTACCCTGAAGACTATGTGAAGGTTAGGATAGAGGAAGAAGGTTGAGAGTTGAGAGGGCGGAAGCTGAAGTACATGGTTCATTGGCCATTGCAACCTTGCAGATCAGCTTGTAAAAGGTTATTAAGTCACTGTAGATTTGAAGCCTTGTGTGACCTTTAGTTTCTGTTATCCGCCAGACCTCTACCTGGTTGTGGCTTAGCAGGATAATTAGTCTGCATGGAGCTTGCACTGTCACATTGCAGTCACTGGGAGTACCCAAGTTAGTTGCTCCTCACATACTTGAGATATATATACACGCATACTCAAAATATGCAGCACAGCACACATGAACGCTGGGTTTGTAGCCTGTTCAGAAATGAAAGTCTTACAGTGAGATTTTCATTTGCATAAGAAATTATTTTTTTTCTTTCAAGTACTGATGTCTTGTGTTGATATTGTCTCATAAAGGGGTGGGGAGTGTCTTGATCTAGATAAATTTATGTTTGGAAAAGAAATTAAACTCTGATAGGAAATATTTTCACTCACTCTAATCAGGGAATACTTTTAGAATAACTTGTAGTATAGTTCTACAGGTGGACTTTAAAGTTCTTTGGAATATTTTTTAAAGTGAAGATGTATTTGAAATTGATTAAGTTAATGTCAGACTTCTAGTATGAGACACCAACAGCCCACGTATGCTGTAGGCCCAGTTTACATTGTTCTTAATGCTGGCCAGAGTGAGAAAACTTGTATCTGTATGGATATCACAGTCCTTTATCAGGTGTTTTCCCTGGAACAGACCCTTCCATGTTTTAGTTATAAAATTCCATCTTGTGTACCTGTTCATTCTAAGCCTCATCAACATAGTCTTCTTTTTTACTTCCAAGTCAATAATATCAGTGTTTTCCATTTTCAGCAGTTTAATCCTCCCATATGGTAGAGACATCATCAACAGCATTAACAATACGCTGAAGTAATTGTAGTGCAGAAAGTTTCCACTTCCATTTTCATGTACCTTTGTCATTATTCAAAAGTAAATAATTTAAAAATGGGAGAAGAAAGAATACTTCTTTAATCCCTCAGAATTTCTGGAAATTTTTCCTCACTAATATCAACAGCATCTCATGGTTTTCAGTAGCGCAGGCGAGAACCAGACCTAATATGCTTTGAAAAAAAATTATGCATATATGTGTTTTGTATTTAATCTAGAATTTACAAGGTTAATTGTATTAGTCTTTTATGGAAGACTGTCTGGAGCAGCTGTCCTTTCTGTGCAAGGATTACAGGTTACACTATTACATGTACATCAATCCTGCTTCCATTGCTGGAAGGTACAGCCTGGTCTACAGGACCAGTCTATTATTTTAGATGTCTAATTTTAACAGAATAATGTAAGGGTTAACACACAAATTCATGCTGTTTTAATGGAAAAAAATGCATTAGATTCCTGTTGTATTCCCCACAGCTAGATTTCCTTGGGAAAAGGTAGACAACAATGGTACATTGTTAGAAGAAACCCAAAATGTTTTTAAGATGGAGGTTGATAAGTTTATGGATGGGGATCAAAAAACCAGATAAGAATGACCCTGAAGTTAGAATTCAAACTTGAAATAACTGTTCTTTTGTATCCAATTTATTAGTAGGGCTGGTACCCAAATGCATGTTAGAGAGGAGATTCTGTGTGTTTGCAAGGCTTTAGCCTTCCATTACAGGACTTCTGTTGCTTAGCTATGGGAGTTGGGCAGAGGGTGGTGAGCTTAGTGCCTGGCAAGATACACAGCTGTTGCTTCTGGTGTGAGAAGGTCTTGAAACATCTTAGAAACATTTGGTCAATTTACTTCCAATTCTTACTACTGTAACGATGTTGGGAAATGATCACTCTTGCTTTCTTCTTGTGGTACATCAGAGGTACAGCTTTTGTCCTTTGTGTTTCAGGTCTACAGGCACCTGGGATGTGTTCATGCAATAGTTCTATGGCTCTTTTAGGATGAACTATCTGTTGTGGCAATTCTTGGATTGCCTGGGACATTATTCAGTGACCCAAGTAGTCTCTTTCAGTCCTCTGTTGCTCTGTTCTAGACTGTGATAAGATCTGAACCCAGAGAATGAGAAGCAGTGCTTGTAGGGTTGGAAGGCTGGCCATTTGAACTGCTTCAGACTCTTCTTTCTTGTCCAAATAAAAGATTTTTTGAGAAATCTCAACTGAGCATGTCGTGGATGTTGAATATAACAGAGCAATACCAGTCCAAAGTACATTTCTGTTTTTGCATGTAAATGTGAAAAGTGGCGCAGCTCTTTGCCTGGGAGGCTGGCATTCCCTTTCTTGTACCCCACAGCTCAACAGCATGACTTGGTCTTTAAAAAAGACAAGTATTAGCATGCTGGTTGCATCACTTCAGAATTAACTATAAAATCCATATAAAATCCAGGGATAAATCTTTATTATGATCATTGAAGGCTTTATGAAATATACAAGATTATAGAGGAAACCCTTTCAGAAAACCTTACATGCATTGATGCAGGTACAGGAGAGTCCTCACACCAGTGTGCCCTGAAGCATAGATGTTTGTTGCTTCAAATAGCATTTCTGTCTCGAGGAAAAAAATTGTAAACACAACAGATTATTACTTAGTAAATCAATTTCCTTGTCTGTAAGGGTTTTATCTGTATACGCAAGTGTCAAAAATAATTTTGTTTTGCTTTTTATTCCAGTTAGACATGGAAATTATGTATTGGGTAATAAGCTGAATTCTGTTCCTTTCTATACACGGTCAACAGAATTCACTACATTGCTAGCAAGTATATTTGTGTAACTTCATGAGAACACTGAAAAAGGGGTAAAGGTTTGGTCTGCTTCAGACAGCCTTCCCATGAGATTACTGGTGTTCATGTCTTTGACGTCTCCTCAAGGTTCAACATGAAAATAAACAAAATCATATATACAAGACTTTAAATCTGCTGTCAACTGGTTAATTGATTAATATTTTTTTCCAGATTACTTTGCTCCCACAAACTAAAACCAGCCAATATAGTCAGCTTTTGTCTCTGGTAATACTGCTCTTCTGCTAGTAACCTTTTTCTGGTTTTGGGAAATATCAAGAGACATTTCTTTTTGGGCAGTAGGCTTCTTAGAGTGTTAAACAGCGACAGTAGTTACAACCTAGAGCAGATTTTACCTAACCTCTCATAAGCATCTAGAATCTCATCTAGCTTCTAGTCTAGTCTTCTATTCTCTTCTTATTGTATATAGACAAATGTAAATACCCAGTAAGGCAATCTCTGTCAATGTAAGGCAGGTTAGATAAATTGTCCTTTGGATATCTACTTCCTATTGACTCGAAAAGAGCCCAAGGAAACTAACTTAGCTTTTCACAGTCAAATCGTAGATGCCAAGGTAGGATGAATACTGAGTTGGACTCCTAAGTGGAAAAATTTTATTCAGATGCTTAAATTTACTCATGGAACTCTTAAATGTAGATTTGAGTTTACCTTAAGGACATTTCTACAAAGCCACCTACAGGAGTAATGTATCAGTCTCAGAACATCCTTTTTAGTTATAAGGTAGCCTTAGATTTCCTGCACATATTTTGTACACTTTTAGAACAACTTTTCCAAAGCAGAGGCTGTTTGGCATTCATTTGAAGGAAAGTGTTCAGATGATGTAGAATCAGATTGGTTCTCTGTATTTTGCAAAGATCAAATGGAATCCATTAAAATGCTATCAATTCAAACTACGCTGAAGTACTCTCTATAAAACCTCTGTCATTAGCCCTCTGAAATGGCTGATTAGACCCTGACATGAGTTATGAGCATAGAGAAGCTACCAAATAGTATTTGTGTACATAGTGAAAGGAGTAAGACATTAGCAGGGGATGGGACTAGATGATCTCCAGAGCTTGCATCCAGCCTCAGCTACTATGGGATTCTGTGATGACTGCACTTTTGGCACACATGTGCCACATCCTCCTTACCTCCCTCTGTGCCGTGACTTCTCAATTGTTCTGTCCACCCTAATATTGCACTTTCTCTATTAAAAAAAAACAACAACAAAAACCAAGCCAAAACCAAAAACAAACCCAAACCAACAAAACCAGAAAACCAAATGAAACTGGCTTCTTAAAGCTTTTTAAAAAAGCATTTTATACTTTTACATCAAAGAGACAAGTTGGGCAAATGCCTCTTATATTTGAAGGAAAAGCAGCTTCAAGATGGAATCCTTTACAGATTGACTAAACATCCTGTCAGTAATGGGCTTCTATGTGCTTTTCCCACTTGGTGAGAACAGAAACATCATTATCAATGAATGCATCTCAAAATAGAATAAAACCAAACCCTAAGTAGAGAATTGTGTAGTGAAGTTATCTATCCACAGAGGGTTAAAAAATTTTACCTACTGGTGTGTTCTGTGTATTTTATTTGACACTGCAGTGATTGAAATCAGACATTCCACTGGCAGAGAACATCGTACAATTTTCCTTTTAATTTGTATGTTATTTTATGTGGGTATCAGTGATCATCTTTTAAAAGGGACAGTAAAGACAATCACATGAAAAATAAGCTGCTTTATGTTATGTTAGGGATATTTTTGCTGTTTTCTTTTTGGATCTAAATGACCAGTTCGTTTTTATAAGCTCCAGCTTATGAAAGCCTATGAAACGGTCCTTATTATCATTTAATGTATTTCAGTAATTTAGAATCAAATCATAAAACTCTCAGCATGTGCAAGCAAAAAACAGATTTAGTAGAAGAGCAGTATCAATATTTTGAAAATTTATACAATCTTTTCATTTTTCCAAGTAAGAGAATTTTTTCACTGTTGCAATTGAGTTATAAGTGAAAATAATGAATTCTACATCATTCAAGGTGTAGGATTTGAAGATAGGAAATGGTTTAGAATTCTGATACCAAACTCCAAAAGCAAGTGCTCATAAACTGATCAATATGCAATAGTCCTCATTCAAACAATATGATTTTTTTTTTGTCCAGTTTTAACCCTGTTAGGATTTCCTGAAGCAGTGGAGGAAGTTGATGAAAATGACTATGAAAGTTCTATTTGCTGAAATCAAAATACGGAAGAATTATTTAGATTGACTGAATTTCCTTTTGATTTTTTTCCTGCTTTGCCATGTTGTGCTTTTAGATGAGTCGAATTGATAACTGAAGAATAAGTATAATCTCTTAACATGACATGCATATGATGACACACTGACAACAATCAAGATGTTTGACTGCATTACACTTGGTTATGTTTTCAAATACTGTTAATGGAGCTTCAGGGCTGTCATGGAGATAGTCAGTCAGACGACAGATGATTTGCCTTTCAACTGTGTAAATGAATGCAATGGATGTCTATCATAATTGTTTTGTTATTTCTGAGGTTGCCACAACAAAATGCCCTTTTCAACAGAATGTGTCATTATTTTGTCAGACGAACAAATACATTATTGGCAAAACTTGAAATATTTGCCCTAGCAAGCTACATCATTTAAATCACAGACATCAGGTTCACAATATGCTGATTGTCTGTCTGACAATCTACCATGAGCAATTCTGAACAAACTACTGTGAGTCTCTGCAGAAACCTTTTTCATTCATTTTGGAAAGTAAAAACTGATTTATTTTCCTAAGGGATGTATTTTTGCTTCTCAATTTGAAATGATCACTGTCATCTATGATCTTGCAATTCAGCTTGGGAATGCAACCAGATGAAATTGTGGAGAGAACATGCAGACTCAGCCAAACTCATAATCATTGTGTTTGCTCTGCATCCGCTGTCTTTTGTACAAACAGACTCTAAGTATTGGCTTTTTACTGCTAGTGGTTAGCTTGGGGTGCATGTGAAAAAACCTTTCAATATCAAAATGTTAATTAATTGGGTAATTCTACCTGCAGAACAGTCTGAGCTATTTTGCAGATGCATTTTAATCTTACCTTGTATGTCTGTATAAAGTTTGTAAAGCAATATAGTGTCCTTCAGTGTTGAGGTTGCTGGGCCATTCACTGAATCTTTCCCACTGCCCATACAAGGCAAGAGCTGCTATTTACATAGGCATTAATGAGCCTTTCTGGCACTTTTCTCCTTGCATGCCATTTCTCTGCCAGGGTTACAAGTGCAAAGACAAAGTCCCAGTGGCACAACTGGCAAATAATCAAACACAGAGGGATACCCCTGATCTCTAGTTTAAGACAGAGATCATCTTATTTTAATCCATTTATTGAAGTCTCATACTTTCACAGATTAAATCTTTCTTCATGTTTCCATCTCCTGGTCATTTTCTACTCAGTGAGATAATTTCCAAACCCATAAACTTTCCAGAAACAGTTGCAAACAGTTCTGCTTTATTTGACCTGCAAATACTATCTATTAGGCATAGAGTTTGTTGGGGTCTTATTATGTTTTTACTTTGCTTTTTTCTGCCTTTTACTTTGGAGAACAAAACATCTTTATTACCTAGACAAGTAATGCAATGAAAGAAGATCACACTCTGTCTGTATGTATTTAGAGGGCATAGCAAGGTCAGCTGCATGTGAAATACAATTGGCAGTTCTTTATTCTGACTTATTTATTTTGATTTATATTATTTCAAGGTTTTTTCTTTTAACAGAGGAAAGGTGTTGAATGGGAACCAGCTTTTGTTTTTATATAAGGCCAAGATTAGGCTCCCCGTTCAGTAACTGGAACAAAAATAGGCAGAGCTTTGAGCAGTTGCCTTACATGCTTTAACATTACCAAAAAAAAAAAAAATTCCAAATTTCTAAAATGCCCAGGTGCTTTGCAATGGGAGGCATAACCTTATGCTTCTAACAAACAGCTCAGGTCAACTTTGTCATCAGCAGTAGTGTATTACTGCCAGGTGTTTGCTTAGTGTTCTGCAAGGAGCAATAGGCCAGTTCCCAGCATGGAGTTGTCTGTCCTCAGTGCCCAAACTACCATTTTGGCATGCATGTAAGCAATCTGGGCAGCAGTGACCAATGGGTGAACAGAACAGTGACATAAGTTGCTCATCCTACCCATGTTTTTTTCAAGTTAGGACTGAGATACATGTGCAATTGGAGAAAACTGCTGCTGCTGCTCCCTTCAGTCATGCAGTTGCAGCTGTAATTGCAATGTGCAGAAGGCCCACACAGGCTGTTATTAAGATCCCCATACGTCTTAGTTTGGGCATAGTGGGACTGAAAAGACTGTAATTTAACTGTGTGCC